CCAGATGTAAAATCCGGGAAATATGTTTTCAAATTCCTAATTAAATGAAATTAAGTCTTCATCAGCTACCTAGATATATTGTGAAGCTTTCATCCAACGAGAATTTCGTGGGTGATTTGCTCGAATCGGAACTTGATAGCGTCGATGAAGACCTGCAATAATCAGACCTGTGTCAATGCCCCCAGCAGCAAGGGATTACCAACATTGAACTGCTAATTATTCAAAGAGGTCGGAAGTTTATTGAAGGAACAATAAATGAAAAATTCTTCAGCATTTCTGCGCTTTACTAGGATTTCCAAAGAAAAAAAGAAGCGATAACGAGTGTGCCAAACTAACAGTATAACGACTGGAGACAACGAGACACGCTTAAGGAAAGATCTAAAATGATTTTACCTCTAAGTTCCCTGTACTTTTATTTCTCACATGTTTTTAGAAAAAAAAATCTCTGCTTTTTAGTACGGGAATAAGATAAGATGATTGCCTAGGTAGCATCAATTTTGCATTTGGTTACCAATTTGCCACACTTACGGTGCGACTTCTGTCACTGTTTACTATGAGGATATCAGGTCAATCGACTGCTCAGCCTACTGCAGCTACAAGTTCGCGTGAAATTTCGAGTAGTGGAACTAGTTGACAAACCGCACAGATCTAAACACCTCTGCACAGGAAGAGTGTGCGAAGCCAAGGCCAATTCAGCGCCGACCGGAACTTCATCGTTTTCATACAAATTTCTGATCAAATTCCTGTAAAATATGCGATGCTGCGATGTTAACGCACCAATCTGGTCCGAGTAATTTTTGCTCACTTCCTGCAATTGTAGTATTCGATATAACAGGTCTGGATAAAAATGAAAAAAGGCGATGAAACGATGCTGGTTAATATACATTTGGCATGTCACAAATTATACAGAGATCTGCAAATACGACACGAAATAGGCGAAAAATTCTATTTATGAATGTCACATAAAGATGAGTGCAAAAAATTTTAAGTAACCGATAGAAAAGTCCCTTCTTAATCATGGCACAAACTGT